GAGATGGTGCATGAATCCTGCTGAGGCATAAGTGTGAACCAACCTAGCACTGTTGGCTGTTGGTTGAGTGCACGTATGCATTTATCCAAGACAGTGGCTTAGCAGGGGGATCTTAAAGATCTCTCCTGGTTTTAAGTGCTGGAGATGGCAAGGATTGGGCACAGCTGCATGTGCCAGCTATCCCAGGCGAGTGGAAGTGTGAGATGAGTTGATAGTCCTGGGGTAAATTTCTCTCTCTAGTAGCCAGGGAAGAAGAAGAAACTTCTCCAAAGCACAGACTTGCTGGTGGAGTCAGCCTTTGCTCAGGGCTGTACTATAAGTCTGCCCAGGTTCAAAGTACCTCCCTGGCAAGGCTGAGAGTGATCTACGGCTGTCTTCTGGCCTTGGTGTTAAACAAAAATATTTGCCCTACAACGGAGGATCGAGAATGAAGCTGTCAAGCATGGAAGCTTTATCTGTCTTTAAGAACACCTATAGATGTTCTTCCCATCTTCTCTCTCTCTCTGGCTTCTGCTTTCATGTCTAAGGAAAGATCCCTGAGTGACCCAGGCCTGAGAGCTGTGTTCTCTGCTGCTTGATATGGCTCTGCATCCACTCATGTCCCGGACACCACGGGAAGGGCCAGCTCCTCTGCGACAGAAGTGGAGATGGCTCCCACCAACTCCACTGCAGGAGTTGGTCAAACACCAGAAGCCTTGGCTCAGTGCTTCTAATGGTTTCACCTGCATTGTGAATGGTCATGTAAACAACCAGGAAATATTTTCTCCCCATCCAAACCTTTTGCATTCTCAAAGTCTGTGATAAATTGCCAGGCAGAGAAGATCATGGGGCAAAAAGGAATTTGTGTCCAAACTAATTTATTTTTATTATGAGCATTCAAGCTTCAGCTCACTGTAAGAGCCATCATTTGCTGCTCAGAGGTACTTAACTGCTTTGTTGTTTGGATTCTGTTTCAAACACCGACCTCGGGGCACCTCTAGACTCCTTCTACTGTAACCTGTAGGAGGCTGAGTGTGAGAAGACTGTGCTGACTAAAAAGACCACAATAAAAAAAAAAAAAAAGCCTCTTTTTCTCTGCATTAGAGAAACCTTTATCTGAATGCAACAAGCAAAAAGATCTTTCCTGATTTTATCCGAACAATTATTTCAGCAAGAGCAGAGTGTTGGTGAGAAATATGCCCTACAGGCTTCTTTTATGTGACATCCATGACTGGAAAAGCCTTACCTGTTCAGTCTTGAATATTGACATTTAAAAGCATTGTGCATCCACAGAGATGTTTTATGGCATGTTTGTCCAATTAAAGGATGAAGATTAAAACATGAATAACATTAATTTGAAGATTTCAGAGCTGTTTCACTAATGCAGAAGTCTAGCAGTGTGTAGTCTGTTTAAGCTCTCTGGGCACTTATGTGCAGAGTCGAAGGAAAAGTACCTTTCTGGGCTCAGTGTATGCTCCTGGCCCTGTTACTCAGTTTGTTGTGTTTGTCTCACCATAATAGTCAGGTCATTTGGAATAACAGCTTGGAAAACAGCAAGGATTCTGCCTAGGGTTATTCCATCAACCCAGACATGACCAAAAGTAATGAGATTGTGTCAGTAGCATTACCATAGTGCAGGTAGAGTGGATTTGCAATCTGTGGTCCAAATTCTCATTGTCACTAATACAGCTGTAAATCCAGTGTAATTTACTGAATTCAGAAGAATCTCTCCAGGTACCAGTAGTGGGGTAGAGCCTGCTCTCAGATATGGAGCCTGTGTTAAAAAGACACTGCTGCCTCTTGCTCAGAAAACACCTGTGCATCCTTAATAAGCTGTCAAAAAAATATGTTGGGTCTGCTTCTGGCAATCTCTCACCTATGTAAAGATTCTGGCTTCTACGTTGCTTAAAGCTGTACATTACCATAAATCCCACAGGCCAAATTTTGACCATTTGTGGCTCAACCCTTTCAGGTACTCATGTAACACCATTGAAGACTGCCACTGGGTGATACTCAACTCCTTGCAGCTTGGTGACTTCTGGGAAGATCTTCCTTCAATTCCTTTTGTATTTACTACAAGCTTGTCTGTTTGGGGGTTTTTTTTTTTGCTTGTTTTATTTTGTTTTGATTTTGTAAGTCTAGAGCAAAACCAATTCTGCTTCATCTGTTCACTGAAATCAGTAATACCATTTAATGGGAGTTCCTGTTCACTGTTGTCAGTAAAATACTCATTTGTGTTTGTTGTTCTAGTGTTATTCAAGCAAAAGTCTCTGTACGCTTCAAAAGGAAAGCCAGAAATGGGTTCAAAAAATGGAAATGTAGTGGACATTTTCATTTCATTAATATTTACAGTTGCTAGCATTGTACAGAGCTGTGTTTTCAATAAGAAAGGCTTAGATAAGGCTTTTTTTTCTGTTATTCAATTACATTGATTTTAGGAGTAGTTACAGGTACAGAATGAGAAGCCAGACTGATGGAGATGCAGGCTCTGGAGAAGCAACCTGTAGTGTAGATTAGACAAAGGGTCTTTGCCAGACCCCTTAAAATAGTCTGTTAAAACAGGAGCTCTACAAGAGCAAGTAAGAAAAGTAGTGTAACACCAGCTACTTGGGTGCTGTGTTTTGTGTTACCAGCCTGTGACCTATATAGTCCCTAAAGTACACGAACTGTACTATTGAGTTCTCCGTCAACTCTTACAGTGTAGTAAGCTGATAGGAGACACTGTCATCTTGTACTGTCAAAATTAATGTGTTTACGTATGTCTAAGGTTTGGATTTTGAATTCCCATTAAAATTCTCTAGACTGTTAATGAGAAGATTGAGCTTTCACTGAGAAAGCAAAGCTGGACAATCCCTTTTTGCATGGCAGTTCTGTTCTGACCTGTCAGCCTGTCATATGCACAGCTCATCCTTCAAGTCTGCTCTCTAAAGCTAAATAAGCTTTTCCCGACACACAAATTGCTCTTTCCCCATCCTCTGCAGCATTTTGAGAGGGTATGTCTGAAGTCTAGCCGCTCATGTTTCCTTCTACTGAAGCTATTCTTTTGACAATGGCAGGATCTGCAACGAGACATAGAGCAACACACTGCAGGGGTGGAATCCGTGTTTAATATTTGCGAAGTCCTGCTACACGATTCAGATGCATGTGCTAATGAGACAGAGTGTGACTCCATCCAGCAAACTAGCAGGAGTTTGGACAGACGGTGGAGAAACATTTGTGCCATGTCTATGGAAAGGCGAATGAAGTAAGTCTTTCTTTCTCACCTCTCCTAATGAAGCCTGTGGCAGCATTTTGAAGAAACGCTGTTGCTTTTGCCACAAGCTGAATTTTGAAAAAGAAAAAAAAAATCCAAAATTAATAGTGAGGTTGCGCTAAAACCTTTCCATTTTTGCATCTCCCTCCCAGAATCGAGGAAACCTGGCGCCTATGGCAGAGGTTTTTGGATGACTATTCTCGCTTTGAAGATTGGCTGAAATCATCTGAAGGGATAGCAGCTAAGCCTAATTCTTCAGAGGTTTTGTACACACATGCAAAGGAGGAGCTGAAGAAATTTGAGGTGAATTTTTTAACTTCATTTTTTTATGCTCAGCAGCAGGCTGAATGGTCAGTCTGCTAAATACTGTCTGTGTGAAATGCCTGGATCACTGAAAAACACCAGTTAGGCAGTGGTGGTATACAGAACATAAATAATTGTGCAGCTGCTAGGTATCTAGCTGACTTATTTGTCTCCAGAATTTTTTTTAATGTGGATAATCCAAGGCTCTGAACTGACAAGATCCTGCTTATAAGTTAAATACTAGCTTTTTATGGGCAGGAGACCTTTGTGGGTTGATTTTTTTGTTTTTTTTTTTTGTCCTTCCTCTTCCTAATGAGCTAAGTCTGAACAGTTGAATTAAAATGCGGGTCCTTCTCTGGATTTAATTTTGCAGTTGGAAGGTCTTTTTTTAAGGGGAGGGGTTCATCATGTCTCTTGATGGATAGTATCATCAGGATCCTTTCTCTTATCTGCAAGGGCACTGAGTTCCTTGATTTGCCTTGCAGGCATTCCAACGGCAAATTCACGAACGACTCACTCAGTTGGAGCTGATCAATAAACAGTACAGGCGCCTCGCCCGCGAGAACCGCACCGACTCAGCCAGCAAGTTGAAGCAGATGGTACATGAAGGCAACCAGCGCTGGGATAATCTCCAGAAACGAGTCGCTGCCATTCTGAGGAGACTCAAGGTAATTGCACAGTGGGGTGAGAGAGTGAGGAGCACTTGCAAGTTTCTGTAGGAATTACCCAAGGGTAAAACACGTATTGGAGCAACTATCAGCTGGAGCAGTTGGTTTGTGTCTTGAGTCACCAGTGTAGGAGAGCAGCTCTGGAATGGTCACCAAGTACATGGCATAAAGATGTCCTCAGTAGAGTGGTTCTTGGTAGTTGAAGAAGAATAAGGGAAAAACGGGTGCGAATTTTGGAAGGTGTGTTGCAGGCCTTACTGCTCCTATCCCACTCTCCTCTTATCCAGTCTTGTCATGGGTGGATGCATTCATGCAGTTGCACATTTCCATAAATAAGAGGCAGAGAGACAAAAAGGTCCCAGTGCAGGTATGGTTTGGAGTTTACAACGCAGCTCTACTTTATGCCAAGTTACGATTCACCTAGAAGGCTTTAAGCATAGAGATGTGATGGAGAGGCATGCTGCTGTCACCAGCTCCTGCTGTGCTCTCTGCCTGGTGGAGGAATGTTGCCAAACGGTGTGACACTTGGAAGAAGTGTCCTGCTTGTCAGTTAAACTGATCTCTGGGCAGATATTCTGTGCTGTGCCCTGGAGGAAACTTGTCACTGCCTGATTTTTAAATACAGCAGTGCTGCAAGCAACTGACAGGGAAAACTATTAGATCCCAAAAGTCAGTGGATGAGGCTGTGAGAGTGCTGATGGGGTTTGATCTGTGCAGTTAGGAGGTGTTGTGTTTGGGGTATTAAAATAATCCCCTTCCTGAAGAGTAAGTCCACTGAGGAGAGCTGCATGTCTGTTAGCAGCTTCTCTAGGAGATGGCAGCAGAGAGAGCTCCTCCTAGCTTCCATGCCAAATGATGCACTGATTACACTGGCGTGGTCATCCATGATCCAGCTTCTCCATTGTTTTACCAATTTTAATGTCATCGTTTCAATTACTTTAATTAGAGATGAGGCTTGCTTCCTTTTTCTGTCTGTCTTCTAAATTTAGAACAAATTAGATGTTAAACCTGAGTCCGAATAACTGTTACACTGGTATAATGATGTGGGAGAAGGTATACAGTGTGGAAGCAAGAATGTAGTTTTATAGAAGCATCTTGCACTGCTGAAGTTTTATTCCCTCTCCCATACAAATAGCATACGAACATTGGACACTTTGTTCCAGCATCACTACAGGAAGGGCACAGTTTTCATCTGTGGCACGCTGCCATTGTGCCCTGAAGGCCTTTAAGGTGAACAGCAGTTTTGAAACAAAACACTGTTTTCAAAGGGCTCCTGTGACCATCTGATTTAGTAGCTGTAGTCTTATAACATTTGCTCCCTTCTTCCTGTTCAGCACTTCACCAATCGGAGAGATGAGTTTGAGGGCACCAGGGAGAGCATCCTTGTTTGGCTCACAGAAATGGACCTCCAGCTGACAAACGTGGAGCACTTCTCCAAAAGTAACTTTGATGACAAAATGCGCCAGTTAAATGTACGTATCCTTATAAAGCAGTTGTTCAATATAGCCCAGCTGATCCTAGTGGGCTGCCCTCTCTTGACAGAATCTTCTACTTTTCTGGAACTTCACAATAGCCAACAGATCTTTGTAAGGCCATATTTGTTTTAAAACACCAGTAAATTGTTAAGACTTATCCTCTGAATCAAGATTAAACTGTACAGTATTTAAATTCAGATTCAGTGTTCAAGCTCAGTTCTATTCTGCCATTTTCTCCTAACACTGAGTTTCAGTGACAGTGGTATCTGGCCTGGAAAGGGGCACATGCAGGTTAACAGTAAAAGCTACGTTCCTAAATTTAGGCATTCTTTTCTGGTGAGAATTTTTTTGAATTGGCATTAAGGTAGGATCTCTCCTCTGAGTGCATTTTTTGTAGCTGGGACTGTCAAACAGAACTAAGACAGCAGGCGTGTGCAGTGATTGCAAAGAACATACTAGCTCTTTGCTACCTGCTCATATGCTCATTTCTCCTTTTGCCCTGCACCGTTAATTGTTTTGGGATGTAGATTTACTGTTGTGTAGGCTGGAGGCCCAACCAGCCAAACTTCTTTGCTACTGAGAAAAAGATTTTGTGTACCCAACAGAAAAATAAACTTTGATTAGCTGAACTCTCATATGGTGATCCCCTGCAGGCTCATGACGCTGCAATGATACTGATGTACACATGGGTGGAAAATGCCACTTCATTTGGAACTGTAATCCTGCTAATAAAACAAACCTCTGGACTGCTTGAGTAGGAAGATATTTGCCAAATGCAATTAGACAACAACGTCAATTGCTGCTTTTCTTTCAGTGCAGTGAGTGAGAAAAACAGGATAAACCTTAGGCTAGAAAGGGACATTGCAGAAGTAATTCTTTTTCTTTTATGTTCCAAATAGGGTTTCCAGCAGGAAATAACACTAAACACCAATAAGATTGATCAGCTAATCGTTTTTGGGGAGCAGTTGATTCAGAAGAGTGAGCCTTTGGATGCTACCCTGATTGAAGATGAATTGGAAGAACTTCATAGATACTGTCAGGAAGTGTTTGGGCGAGTTGCCCGGTTCCATCAAAGACTGACTTCAAGACATCCTGTAAGAAGCAAGAGTTGTTTTGATGCTTTGGCAAGATTTTGGTGTTTGAACTGCAACGCTCATTGCTTATCCCTAGCAGCTTGACCGAGTGGTTTGAGCTCAAAGGGGTCAGGAGCTCCTCAGTAGTTGTACCAGCTTTGTTACATCTTTGTTGCCAGTCTTGTCTCTTCACACCTCTCATGTTGAGTCTCCATCTGCAGAATCTGGATAATAATGTGGAATAAATTCACAGGGTTAATATTTAGATAGTAGAGGTTTGAGGGCTTCAAAAGCTTTTTCTGGTGTGTTTTTATTATCACTTTGTTTTCTTTAATTTCAATAACGTGCTTAGAATATCTCTTTATGGATTTGTTTGTGAGGCTCCATCTGTCCACTTCCTTGTGGGAACCCTGAATGGGGAACAGCATGCTCTCTACTTTTCACTGGGAACATTAGCTGATTCTCAGTTTGCTTTGGCTCAAAAAGAAAGAACATCTTTTAAAAAGACAGGTAGAGAAAGTAACGTGGCCATCTACAAGTAGCTGTTCCCCCTAGCTGAGCATCATTTGACCTGTGCAGTCCATTTAGAACTCGATACCCCTCCCTGCAAACTAGAAAGAGATGTTATGGTGGTGGTTGTATGTCTTGAAATAGCGGAGGTAGCTACTGATGTGAGAGGATTGTTCTGGCAAAAGAGGAAGGAGGCAGAAATGATGCTTCCCTTTAATTTTAGGCACGTGGTCTTCGATTACTGCAAATGACCGCAAAACAGTCCCCAGTAGTATTGTGTGGGTCAATCATTATCTCATTAAGCAGTGTAGATCTAGTGTAAATCTTATTAATATGCAATAATTTATATTTATTTTTAGGGATTGGATGATGAAAAAGAGACCTCTGAAAATGAGACAGATCCAGAAGACTCCAGAGAAATCCAGAATGATCTCTGGCATAAGAAGGCCATCAGTGAGGGTCCCTCTTCACCACAGTCCCTTTGCCACCTTATGCCCCCTACTCAGGGTCATGAAAGATCAGGCTGTGAAACCCCTGTCAGTGTTGACTCCATCCCACTCGAGTGGGATCACACAGGTGATGTGGGAGGTTCTTCCTCTCATGAAGACGAAGAAGAAGCAACGTACTACAGTGCTCTGTCAGGTGAGAACCAATTGCCAGCTGTTTGTTTTGACATGGACAACTGCAGGATGTCCCTGTATGGGAAGGGAGGGGGACTGAGGTCTTGCTCCCACGTTGTTGGTTGGTTTTCAAGTGCTATTAATAGATGTGAGCAGACTCGTCTCTTAGATGTCTTGATGAAGGGAGTGGTATTGTCTAAACCAAGCTTATATTTTCAGAAACATAAGGTTTACTTTCTAAGAATGTTTGATGAAAATAATAACAACAACTTATTTTGTTCTTTGTCTTTGCTGTCCCTCATTGTTTCAATTGTTTTTAATAGTTGGAAAATATTGAATAGTGAGGAAAATGACATTATTCTTTTTTCAGATGTAGAAATCACTGAAAATCCTGAGGCATATCTTAAAATGACCACAAAAACTTTGAAAGCATCTTCTGGTAGGCACCTGCTAATGCATGTGTCTGAACATGGCAATCTCCCTGTGCTGCACGCTATATTCCTCAACCTCTCTCATATGTAATGTCTGACTTCCTGCCTTGTGTGGACACCATGTCTCATCCTGTCATGGTGTTCTGACGCTGCAGTATTCACATGTACATTACAAAGCAGTCAAGAACATACCATTTAGAATTTGCCTGGTAAAGGCCAAGGTGGTTAATGTGCATTTCATTGTATTGATCCAAAGTCTTTTGGTACTTTCTTGGTGGTTTGCTCTGGGTAGTATCACTTTTTTGGTTGTTTCTAATTTTGATTGCATAATTACTGGAGGAAACAGTTCCAAGTCTGCAAGTATTTTTTTGTGTTTTGTGCATGACAGAACCATGTGTGTCCTGTCTGTTAAATCCAGAACAAACGTTCTCCAAATCAGGACATGTCTATACTTGTCCTTACTGGAATCCGATGCAGATGTGTGGTAGTATTGTTGAGATGCAAACTTTCCAAAACCACAGTGCAGCCTTTTTGTTTTATTTTTTGAATACTCGTACCTGTATTCAAGCATTTTCCAGAAGAAAACAGAATGTCCCATAACTGCATGGCTCTCATCTCATTACCTTTGAAACACTGTTGATGTTTTGCAAATGTGCATGCTTTGCAAGGAAAGCTGCAAAACTGTCATTTTTATGCCATAACTTGATGCCATTTTATTCAGAGCGCTTTCTAACTTAATACAAAGCAATGGCTTCCTTGTGAAGATGGGATTTTGCACTCATGGTATATGGTTTTGGTTTTATTTGTTTCAGGAAAGTCTGTTTCAGAAACTCATCCTTGGCATTCTCCAGATAGTCCGGTCTCCAGCAAACACCGATACAACCAGGCAGAGATGGTTGGAAATGTGTTGTCGGGTCCAGAGACAAGTACTCCCTTTAAGCCAGACTATGTGAGTTGGAGGTTCTGTGGGCACTGAACCTGTACTGCACAATCTGTTTGTTGTTCCTGTGTAACTCCATCCTCTTCCCTCTCCAGCATCAAGGAAAAGATGAGTCACGGGGGTGTCACGGATGTAGTGAGAGGGAAGCAAAAAATATAGTTTATTGGTGTAAATCAGTGAGTTAACAAAGTTCCATGGTAAATGCGACAGTAGTTTATAGAATTGGATGGCAAGGTACACTTGGTTATTTAGTGCATAGAGGATGGGGTCAGACAAAACTGTCGGGGGGACCCTCCCATTGAGTCACGAGGTTCAGAAAAGATCCCCTTGCTTTCTAAACTCCTTCCTCAGAGAGGAGTCTAGGTGCGACTGGATCCGATCCTAGTCCCAGACTTGGTCAACGGTTTATGTCCAAAGGATTATATATGTGCAATCAATCCTTTATATCCCTTAGCTAAGGTTTCAGAGTTTATCATGCTGTTAGCCACTTACTGAGAATCTGTTGTGGTAAGGAATCTCTCAAACTCGAGGAGTCCCTGCTCAAGGGGAGATCCTGCCATGCAGGAGAGCTCCAAGGGCTCTTGGGCTGCTCACTGTTGATGGGGGTCAGGTTATTGGGTCGTAGTCGTATTTGCATACCCAGCACTGTGCTTAGGTGGGCACATTCCACAACAGCCCTTGGCTATTTTATTATAATCTGTCTCCCCTACATCCACTGGATGCATCCTTGACAACAAGCTGCATCTATCACGACTGCCACAGGTGGTTATCACTTGAGGGGGTGGTGGCGGAGGTAGGGGCAGGGGGGGAAGGACAGCACCACAGCGGGGAGTGTTGGCTTTATGCAAACTTCAACATTATTTCTGGTGGCTCACGTAACCAGTGAGAGTATCCACTCCCTAAAAAAGCTTCTTTAAAGCAATTTAGACAACCACATTAGGGTCCTGATCAGTCAGTGTCTGGAGGAACTTACTTCCTCTATTGTCATAGGACAAGTCTAGGAGAATTTAACCCCCTGAAGTAGAGGGTGTGAATACCCTCCCTTGATACTTACTGACATACCTCCCTTTCCTAAGCAGACCGGTTAGAAGGGTCCTTTTCTAGCATGCAACCCACCATTTAATGTGCTTCTGGGCACTAAAAAATGTGACAATGGCTATTGTCAGCTTTGGTGGCTGGTTGCCAGCCATGGCTTCACCAGCAGCTGCCAAGCTCAGTGGATCTGGACCAGTTGTCAGCACTCTTCCAGGCACAAGATGGTACTGGTGTCTGTCTGCTTTTGTCATCATTAATCCAATCTTAGAGCCTTAGAGTCAATATTGCCAAGACCCAGAATTCAACAAAGAGCATCAGCAAAGGTACATTTTCTGGTACATGTAGTTGCAAAAGCAGTTAATTTGCCATGTCCAGTCCTGTAATAATTAGCGTCACTATGGTGTGTGTTTGTTTACTGAGAAGGGACAGAGAGCCAGTTAGCAAAGATGCAGAAGCCCAGTGCTAAATCTGACATGCAAGAGCTCAGCAGCAGCCCAGCCACCCCAGAGTAACACAAATTAAGCTTGACCTTTGACGGCTTGTTAACCTGCAGGGCTCACCCGCCAAAATATCATTCCAGGTGAAGCAGCTCAGCTCTGCGAGCAGCAGCAGCAGCAACAAGGAGAAAATGATGCCTGCTAACATGAGTGATGAAGATCCCCAAGATGACCAAGAGCTTGTGAATATCGCAGCTGCAGAGAAGCAGTCAGGTACAGAGCATTAGGAGTGGCTTTGGTGCTGAGGTGTTCGTCCTGTCACTCTGGGAGAGACAAAGCAGAGATGGCACAAAGGCAGCACATTTGCCTTGGGATCAAGATAGAAGTAAACCACCAGCCTCTTAAATTAACGTATTTTGCTAAGATTCACTGAGCTGCCTTCTCACCTGTTCTAAGCTTTTACATTAACTGCCAGAATTGAGATTTTTATCACTCTTAATATACTTCTGTTTCTTTGCTGGTTGGAATGAATGGGAACAATTTTACTTTTGTGTGATAATGAATACTTCAGAGATTTTTAATCAGATTTCAAACCAGTGTGCCTCTGTCTAAAATAAGATTGCTATAGTTCGTTTTCTCAGTTACTGGTACTCCATATAACAAGATGCTACAGCTTCCATTTACAGAAATGTTTTTTCAAAGCTGGTAATGTATTCTGTTCTTCACTGTCTTCACTGTGGTCCTTTCTTCCAAATAGGCCAACAAGCTGGTTCTCTTAACCTTTTAGGACCTTCCTGGTTTCAGGTGCTTGAGACTGCAGTAAGAGCACATCTGTACTGCAGTCACAAAAGCAAATCAAGTGATAAAAAGAAGGCTGCAGCTACATGCACCAACTTAGTTTACATCTCTGGTCTCACAGATGGACCAGGGTGGAGTCCCGTAGATGGGACGAATAGGGAAACCTCTGAGAAGGGCTTAGGTGTGCTTCAAAAAATAGTGTCATTGATAGCACAGGTGGCATCTCCACTGAACTGATGAAACATAAACCCAAGTCCCAACTGCTGGATTATATTTTGTCCCGTGATGAATTTTGGTGCCTACCAAATCACAACTGGGATCATTGAATTTTGTCTCCTTTTTTGGAGATACACAGAGCAGATTTTCTCTATTCTTCCAGGTAAACTAAAATATCTTCAGTTAACGTGATTAAATCCTGTGTAGCATTACTATGTGGATAACTTGACCAGTAATACAAGACTTACAGACTGCAGAAGCTCAAGACAAAATGTGTCTGGATAACAGTAGTACATGGTAGCAGTTGTTTGGCCTTGAGTAAGCTGGAGAATAATTTACTCGTAAAACTCCTCACATCTGTTTTACGCACTCTTCACCTTAGTGAAGAATTAAACGTTTGTTGTTCTAACATTTGCAGGCATTATTGATAGGTGGGAGCTCATCCAAGCTCAAGACCTCAGAAATAAACTTAGGATGAAACAGAAATTGCAGCAGTGGCAGCAGCTGAACTCAGATCTCAGCGATGTGTCTGCTTGGCTTGATAAAACTGAGGAAGAGCTGGAAGAGCTGCAAAAAGCGAAACCTCCAACCACCATGCAGGCCTTGGAACAAAGGGTCAAGAAACTGAAAGTAAGTTATGGCACACTGAGAAACGGGATTTCAAGACGCTCATGCTCTTTATCATTGTCTTTGTGCTCCTAGGATCTGTCGGCAGCATGAATGCTAATAACAATGTGCATATGCCACAGAGGAGCTAAGCTGTTTTCAGTGGAGAGGACTAAAGAGGGTAGTTAAGCAAGGTGCTTCTGTCTTCACATGCAGAGATTTGCAGGCAATATGCCTGGGTACAGCCAGCAGCCAGGCTGAAATAAAAACCTCCCCCTTTCTGTTTTCTTGTAGACACTTTATTCTCGCTCAAACAAAACATTCAGCCCCAAAATTCTCTTTTTAGGCCTTGTGTTTTATGAAACAAACATAGAAAAAAGCTAAATAATGAAGACTTAGACTCCCCAAATGTCTAGAGTCAGGCTTTGTCTTGGGGGGTTGGGTGTTCTGAGCAGTGATACCAGCATTTTGTCCTTGTTCTATGCCATTCCTCTCTATACAAACCAGAAACAGACTGAAAATTAGCTGGGTTTGCAGCTACAGGCTGCAAAAGGCTATGTTGATTTTTTTTTTTTGTTTTAATTAAATTAAAGGGAGGCAGAGATTGAGAAAGAACTGCTCTAAAGCTGTGGTTTTTAGCAATATGGTGTTTGCAAAAAAAATCTGAGCTCTAAACAGCATTTTTGTCCTATAGTTGAAAGATACATCATTTCAAAACCATGCAGTTGTGTTTTTTCACTTAGCAAATGCAGATTTCTCGTAGAATAGAATGTATTAGTTAAAAATTATTAAAAAAATAAATTCAGTTTCTGCTGATCTTCAGCCAAGTAATTGAACAGTTAGAGAGACAATAACATGAACAGTTTTCAGCATGTGTGGTCGTGTTATGCTGCCTGCTATGATTCTCGGCTTCCATAAATTAAGTAGGACTAAGCTGACTTAGTCTGCAAGTTGAACCGGCAGGTTACCAGTGTACGTGTACGTGCTAGGTCCTTAAGACTTAGGTAACAAAATGCCTCGGGTTGAAGTCTTGAGAGAGCAAGTGTTCCTAACACTTGGGGGAGTGCAAATTCCCTGTGTGCTGACCCCTCTGCCAGCATCCTGGGGCTACTGGTCAGTATGGCCTCACGCTCGGGATGATGCTCACAAACAAGGCACTGCAGGACAGAGGAAGGATTTCTTAGGTGTCTTGACAGTATCCGTAAGCCTACATGTCCTTTAGTAGTCGTTAGGCCAGGGAGAATGACTGCGCTCCAGTGTGTGACTCCAGTAAGAATGGCTCTGATTCCATCAGTCGACCTGGCTTAGGCAGCAAGTGCTAGGAAAAATTTGGTGATGCCTTGCAAGTGGAGGGAGGTGCTTCCCTTCAGGCTGGAGTTGGGTGTCTGACACCTTCAAGGAGCAGAGCTTCACTTCTCCTTCTCTCTTCTGCATTTTCTTAAGAGGAGTCCAGGTGGCTGTAAATCCCCCTTTCAGACAGCTTGGCTTTCTGTAGGTGTCTAAAAGAGCCAGCATGCTCTAAGACCTGAATTTCAAGAGATGTCAGGACATCTCAATTGCCCTGGATAAGGATAAAGCCAGTCTGGCTGCAGACTGGCTTACTAGTGCTTAGAAGTCTGTGATGGACCGCTCATATTGTCTGATATTGAAAGAAACTTTGTTGCTTGAAGGAGGGAGACAGGGTTCTTTGTTGGGCAAAATGTAATTTAGACTAGCAGTTTTCAACAAGTGGGACACAGATCTTGAGAATATATAGATTGACACTCAGTTACAAAGGCTGGTAAGAACAGCAATCTGAGCTGTGTGGATTGCAGGACTCATCCTGCAGCTCTTACTTTTCTACTGCAAGAGCCTACAACTCAAAAAAGACTGAGTACCCTTGATTCAAACTGCAAACTTCTTGAGGGTATGAAGTATTGTTTGGCGTTTGTTTTTTTTTAAAAAAAAAGAACTCAAAAATACAGACTCTACCTTAACATAAAAGTGGTCAGGCGATACAGCCATGACTTCGCAAATTCCGTATCATTTTCCCCTGCAATTTTAAGGGAAAGGAGGAAAGCAGGCAGGGCTGCCGTTTGGGGGGACCTTGACAAGTCAGAGAAGTGGTCTGACAGAAACTCTGACTAGAGAGAAGAAGAAGAATTTTTCACAGTGGGGTGGCCTGGTGTGGGACCAGGAGCCCAGAGGAGATGGGGAATTTCCATCCTGCAAGATACTCCAAATTTGACTGGATGTGGTCCTTAGCAGCGGGCTCTGAGTAGGAAGTTGGCCCTACTTAGAGCAGGAGGATGGAGTATGGACCTCCAGATGTCCCCTTCAGCATTGTTTTAGGATTCTGAGACAACAAAACCTTTATACATTGAGAGGAAATACCATGTGATAACCTAAGGGAATATTTGTCCAAATGTCAGAGAAAGAGACAGCTCTGAGGGAAGAAAGGGCAGATGTGGATTAAGCCATAATGCCTGTGACTTAGGGAGAAGCACAGGCCCAGCCAGATTTGTTGTCTTCAAAGTGAAGATTTTTGCTTTAAAAAAAATAAAATAACATTAAAAAGGCCACCTACCTTAATATGTTCCTTAGCAGTATCTGAAAAGCCACCAGATTCGAACAGCTTTCCCCAATACCTGTGATTCTTTTGAGGGTGTAGTTTTATTATAAATAAACAACATGTTTTTCATCATTCACAGAAGCTCCTAATCTGTTTTTTTCTACCAGGACATGCTTAAAGCATTTGATAACTACAAGGCGGTGGTGCTTTCTGTTAACCTGAGCAGCAAAGAATTCCAGAAAGCAGATAGCACAGAGTTCAAAGAGCTTCAGAACAAGCTTCGGAAGGTGAACTTGCATTGGGAGAAAGCAACTCATGCATTGGACAACTGGAGGAAAGGTTTACAGCAAGCCCTACTGCATTGCCAGGTGCATATCACATACCAGCTTATAAGGGAAAACTCCTCTTTAGGGTGCTACTGTGGGGTACATAAGGGGAGAGAGCAGAGGAATGATTCCTGCACATTAGTGGAATGGTTGCTCAGAATCTGAGATGCTTAATTTTCTTACACACTTGAGACTGTTGGGTTTAAAGGGTTTGGTAAAAATTCTCTTTGAACTGGATAATATCCCTCTGTTACATAGGTGGAATAGTTTAAGTAGGTTGCTGTAGCCTTACCAATCGTAAATTTGTTGTCAGGTCTGTCTAATCTGGGCTGGTCATTTTGTTTGTAGGCAAAGCCAGGTGAAAGCACTGCAAAAGTGGTTTTTTTCTTATGTGCAAATCTTTTGTTTCACTAGGACTACCATGATCAGAGCCAAAAACTAATCCTGTGGTTAGCAAGTGCTGATACCCGAAGGAATGAAGCACAAATCACAGACCCAAACGCTGACCTCAATACAATACTGGAATGCCAAAAGGAGCTAATGGTAAGCGTAGTCTTAACTACAGCACCTCAGCTCTTCCAGTGGATCAGCAGCTCTCACCACAAATGAAGAGCAATATGCTTATTTCTCAAGATGTCTGCAGCCTGTCCTTGAACCTACTGTGCTCAAGCACGTGGCAGGTTTCTGAAATGGACTGTTTTCTGAGATGGACTCATATTGCCTATATGAAGCATTTTTTCCATAACTGCACATCATAATTAAGTTCCTTATGAACAGTCTTTACACTGGAGTAAGACTTCCAATTTCCAAGATTTAATGTCTTTTCCATATGGATTAATTGCTGCTAGAACTGTTTCTAAATGTTAGTTCAAGCAGGTACAACCAGTCTCTTCAAGAGAACTTAATTTCCTGTGTAGCTGTAATAGCCATTCCTACGTATTGTGGATTCTCAGGCAGGTTGAGTTGTTCTTTAAAGCCTTCCAGGGTTCTTCCTTTTATGAGAGCATCCTTAAAGTTGAGAGTAACAGTCTGTTGCACTGTTTTTTGTTTGTTTCTTCTAAGCAACTGGAGAAAGAGCTGCTGGAACAACAGCTTAAAGTAAACTCACTTCAAGAACTCACTGCTTACCTGCTGCTCAAATCAGATGGTGATTACATTGAAGCTGATGAGAAGGTCCATGTAATTGGAAAGAAACTGAAACAGCTTATTGAACAAGTTTCACAGGACTTAAAAGGAATACAAGGAAATCTGGTGAGTCAGAGTTTAAATACTTGTTCATGGATCTTTCTTACTGCAAAGTAATCACATATTGAGTAAAGGTATTTATAAAAGACTGACTTAAAACTTCAGTGCTTCCACCTTCTAAGCTGAAAAAAAACCAATTAAGTCTGCCTGTAGGAAAAAATTAAGCACCATGAGGCTAGTACAGTATTGAAACGGATTGCCCAGAGAAATCGTGCAGTCTCCATCCTTGAGGCTGAAGAGCAGACAGGATAAAGTCATCAGTAAGGTTTTTGGTTGGCTCTTACAGCTGACCTTGCTTTGAGCAGGAGGTTGGACTAGACGAACTTCCTGAGGTTCTTTCCAACCTGAATTAGCCTATGATCCATATGAAGTATCAGTCTAAGTGTGTGTAATGAACATGTAGGAGCTTGAGTTCATAGCAATACATTGCTTATCCTGAGAGCTGTCAGATAGATATATGTTCAAGTTAATACCCGTATGCACCTGTTCCATCACAATTCCTTTGGGTTGTGCATAGAAAAACATTTCTTTATGCTGAAGAACTGGAGCATCTGTTTACCGCTGATTATGCACATCTAAAGAGGCAATGGGCGGTGCATCTAGAGAAGCAATGGAAGATGGCTCTTTGCACTTCATGTATTGTGAGTTTTGAATGTGCATTTTAAAGAGGAAGGTGTGGTTACCTTTTAGGATACCAGAGCATGCCTGCTAGTTCCAGATGACTTGGACTCAGGAGACTATAATCCAGTCACACCGAAATCCAGCCCTGCTGTGAAGAAGGCAAGTACATTTTTTTCTAATATTTTGCTATCAGCATATAGCACATGTTGACATATTTAGCCTGAAAATTCCTCAGATGTTATCGTTTTACCTTTTAGATGCATATACCTTATTGCAGAATTTACAGCAGGACTTCAAAGTCTACAACTGTCTTCTCTGAGAAAGAGAAATTCCTTGTCGTTTCTGAAACCTGGATACTAAAAGCTGTTTCTCTCAACAGATCACCGTAAGGAGAACTGAAGATGGCAGAAGCAGCAGCAGCACAAGGTATTACTTTATATTAGCCTGACCTCTTGAAGGACAGTGAACATGTCAGAGGCAAGCTGAGTGCCAAGCGGAAACCTGGGCCGCTGTTCCTCATAGGTTGACATGCAGGTGGAGGTGATTTCTGCCTACCTGTAGTGTCTTCTCTACCTATCAGCTCTGGGCTGCACTTTGGGGAACTGTTTTCCTTTAGCGCTCCTGCTCTTAGGCCTCTGCACCAATGTGAAACCTTGGCTTGTCTTCACTCGTGAGAAAATATTTTTTGTGCCAAATGGGGTAATTTTTTCACTTAAAATCTTCCTTTAATTCCACCAGCATACCTGGACAAAGAAACTTGCAGCTTAGTGCCACTTCTTACAAATAGACCTTGAAAGACAAAGGGAGAACTTCACCCCCCAGTCCATTAGGGTCTGTTCAAAGGACAGATCTCAGTAATGCCACGGCAAAGAAGAGCCTGATCAGTCTGGATGGTGGCTTTCCATTATACTTCAACATGTATTAGAGTGGTTCATTCGTCTGCTGGGAAAACTTAAGTTTGCATCTGGAAACAGAGTAAAAACCCACTGACCTAAGCTATTACAAAGAAATGTTTCTTCTTTGGTAGTAAGGACAGTAAACCCAAGCCAGCAGCTGCCTTCCCACTGAGCAGTCTTGCACGCTTTCCAGTTACAGTTAAAGTGTTTCACGTGCAGTGCATTTTCCTGTAGATACACAGCCCTGCATCTTGGAAGGGTAGTGGGAACCCTAGAGAGGGAGTTAAAAACAACTTGTTTAATTCAAGGTCGAAAGTGACTTTTAAAAAAATTATTTTTTTTTTTTCTTTTCCTCCTTTTCAGAGGTGAAAGCCATCCACAACCTATTCAAGCAATTCCTCGGTCTCCCTCCTTCTTTTACCGTGTATTACGAGCAGCTTTACCTCTTCAGTTGTTCTTTCTACTGCTTTTACTTCTGGCTTGCATGATTCCATCTTCTGAAGAAGACTACAGCTGCACCCAGGCAAACAACTTCGCCCGTTCTTTCTATCCCATGCTGCGATACACCAACGGGCCTCCACCAACTTAGGAAGGAGCCCATGAATATTCAGTTATACCAAAACACACTCTCTGTGGTGCTTTTTTCGTGCTGCTATCATCAATCAAGCAGTGACATTGCATAACTAAATACAGAAACTTTTGTGTTGTGTTAGTTCCCCAAATCAGCCACTACAGCAGTTAATGCTGCGGTTAAACAATGCCTCACGTTTATAGCCTCCTTTCCCTGCTGCAGGGAACATGTTAAATTTCACATCTCAAAATGTATATCTTGACAAAAATTTCAGCATTTTTGTATGGATAACAAACTTTTTTCTATAGATTTTTAAATTGTAAGCAACACACTTTATACTTTGATGCAATAGATACACTATTTTATAGGTGCAGTTCTCTTAAGCTTGCAAGGTGATTGAGTACTGAGTTATTAGATGCAGAAACTACATCACAGTTATCTTAAACACAGTGGTCTGTCTCCGGTTAGCACGACAAACAAGCAGTTGAAGAGGCGCTTTGCCTAAAACGATTACTGCACACACTTCACACTACTTGTGTCTCTTGGTACTGTGGTCACTTGGTGGAAACAAAGAAAAGCTATATCTTTTTGAATCTTTGTTATTGTATTTTATTCATCTGACGTGTTCAAGGGTGCACATTTGTTTTGTTTTACATACAGTGTTCTAGTGGTTAGGACTGCTGTGTTGTCTTTTTATACCACCTTTGAAATAAGAAATCGTTGCATTGCATGGAAATGGTTTATAATGCACATATTTTCTAGATGAACAGGATTATGTAGACTATCCCTGATGTATACAAATAACGTGAAGACTTTTTTAATGAAAGAAAGATTTTTTTTTCAGTTTTTAACCTGCTGAATAGTGTACAGTATCTTGGGAGAGACGTGCATTTTTATAAGCTTCATCGTTAAAGTGAAACCGGCAGTTGGGCAGTGGCTAGAGAAACACCGTGTACAGTCAGCGTTGCCTTTGCTTCTCGGTTGTACAGTTCGAGTACTGTCATTAAAACTTTGCCAATGTCTGCAGGGCCTATCGCTGTGTCTAGTGGGGGGTTGCCAGCCCTGTGTCCCAGCATCGCTCACCCTTCCCCTCCTGTGGAAGCCAACGCAACAGCAGGGGAAGCAGCATAACCACTCCTGCCTGTCAGAGCAAGCGTTTACCAACTCAGCAGCGGCGCCGGTGTTCGGCAGCACAAATCCTTTCCTTTGCACCTGACTCTGTATTCTTCCTCTGGGAAATCAAAGTTGAAGCAACCGGTGCTTATTACTGCTTCAAAATGCTGAACTATTTCCCCACCCTGGAACTGATTTTTCTAAACTGGGAGTTACGGCAGTGCTGGGGAGGGGGAAGCGCGCACTGAGGAGAGCTCAGCGCAGTAGTGCAGGGTTTGGATGAACAGTTCAGAATTTTTGTGTTTGGTTGCAGTGAAAATCACCCAGGAATTAGCCAATTTCTGTAATCATTACCTACAGAACATAGGATTCGTGATTAGCCTGTGAGGATTCTCCCACCTTTTCTACACCTGTCATCGCTGGCGGTTGCATATTCCCCAGCTTCTGGCAGGGGGATTTATGAAGCAGGTCGCTTTGCATTCTTAAGTTCAGGGAAAGGCAGTCCCCGTAGCAAACCAACAGCTTCATCCCAACCATGGTGGCAAAAAAAGCCTGGTTTATTTCCAGGATGTTAAACTAAACTAACACATTAACTGTGATACAGTTAAGCTTGCAAAGTTAGCAACAAGATTTAGGAAAGTCAAAGCTTACACTTTGGCAGTTTGTCGTAGTGGTACCATACAGTAGTTTCACATCACACTGTGTGCTCAAATACGGGTCAAGATAACCCCAGCTCCATGCTGAAGTGTCTCGACCTCAGTCCCACGCAGCAGAGCCCAGGCTCCAACCTGCAAAAACCACGCGGCTGTGGCTGTGCTGCCAGGGCTGGCAGCTTTCACGCCTGCGAGCCGGCTCGCCGCGCGCTCTGGCTGGGTCTGCGGAGCCAGGCTGGGGCTCCAGCCAGCACCGGCACAGCCACAGCGCTCACAGCCGTGCTGTATGCGGAGATAAACGCTGGGTGCTCTCTGCCCCGCGCCGCACGCGCTCTCCCCTCTTCCTCTGCCATCGTTATTTTGTATTTTGAAAGCAATTACTTTCAGATAGAGCTCATTTAAGTTTCTGTCTCTGTAGAAGTCAGCCAACTCTTAACCATTATTTCATTGCCAGGTTGTCACAAATGCCCATGCAAACCTTTCTGCCAAGCACTAATAGTCAGTTGCTGACATGATATTCAGTTCTTTTGCCGTTAAAGAGCCTATGCAGGGGGAAAAAAAAGCCGAACAATGTTGAAAGGTCTAAAGAAAATTTCATAGCCTGCAATTTCCTTTCATTATGTACAGTTATATCAAATTGTTGAGCTGATGTAATATATAAAATGAGGCGCTTTCATGAAATTATCTCAAAATGTCACCAAAAAAATAGGTCTGGGAAAATAACTTAAATGTTTTTCCCCCCCAAACCTTTTTTAAATAGTTTTACTTCCAGTTGATTATAACCACTGCGCCGTAGGCTGACACCGAAGTCTGCTTCGAACAAACCATTATATATAGACCCACCAATTCGTTAGTGTCATCCTCTCGCTCAGGACCAGGTTGTTCGTGTTCAGTGAAGGAAAAAAAGAGATTTTTAAAAAAAAAAAAAGAGGGCAAAAGCAATAGCGAGAGCAAGCACGCATGCATGTGCAGTGTGTGTTGGACTGAAACCAGGCTAAAACTAGTGTTGCGTTGAAGTCTCATTTCTTTTTCCGGGAGATGAGACCTCAGCCTATTTTCAGCTGTACCTACCCCCCCACCTGAAACAGTCAACAGCAACACTGCTGTCAGGGGAAGGAGAGGACTGTTTGTTTATTAAAACTTGTCGTCGTCCCCTCCCAGTTAAATTTGCCAGTCCCTGAAACACTTGGGCACAACCTGCATCTTCTGTAGTCACTTGGTGCTGGGAAACATCCTAAGACCGCGAGTACCTGACAAAGTAAATCAGCCTACAGCTTGTGGCGTGACAGCAGAGGTAAGGACACTGTGACTGTAAGTAAGGTCTTACAGACAGCGCGCTCACACGCGTTTTATGCTCAGGAAGCCAGGCTGAGCTCAGCTACAGGGAAGAAATGACCGAAAAGCCGTATATTTAGGTTTTGTGATACCTTATTCAGCCACAACAACCTACACCTGAATGAAACACATCGCTAGCCAAACAGCCTGAGAACTAAAGAGCAGCTGAGCAAAAGGTAAGGGTTGTGGGGTTTGGGTTTGTTTTTTTTTCCCCCCCCCTCACATTCATATAACACACATAAAGTACTGTAAAGGCACCTTCAGTCCTAAACCCATTTCCATTACAAACTTGCAGTGAGGGTGAAACGTTGAAACTAAAACCACACATAAAGTAGGACTTGGAACAGAAAATTTGGGGGAAAACGGCCATAGGCGACCACTGTTAATGGCTCTGCCAGCGCCTTGGTACCTGGCGTCATGGTGAGTGAAGGCAGTTTTGTCTCTTCAGGCAGTAGCAGCAGCAGTTGGCATTTTTACGGCCTAGCGATCTCGTTTTCTTCATGCACTTAACTTGAAAGCACCGCCACGCAACAGTGAGTGAGGAGTGTGACTCCTGCACGTAAAGATGGAAAGAGTTAAAAAAATCTCCAAATCATAAATAATGTGAAGCCTTAGCTATTTAACTCACTGCACTTCAGTTCAGTAGTAAAACACTGAAAAATGAATGTAAATAATACTCATTTTCCATATTTTAGCAAGCCACTTGCTTTTCATATTCCCGCTTACAACGCCCTCTCTAGTATGAGTTGAGGCACTGGGTCAGCACAACAGACGACCCCATCCTTAGCTGCTTTGTGGAGTCGCAGGACATGAATAATGGTGAACAATTTCTTCTGAGACAAAGGGTGACGATAGCAAAGGCATTTCCGTGACTTCCAGCTCTCTGTGTAGATCACAGGACCCTGCGCCAATGAAAGAAACTGCAGCCTACAGCTGGGCTGAGACTAAAACCAGCTGCCGTGGTGGTGACTGTCCCCAGCTGCACTCGCTTACAGCAGCTGGGATCGGGATTATGGAGCTACTCTGCCATCCAGGGAACTGGATAGAATAACACTGAGAGAGAGATATACTGAATATATATATATACACACACACACGATAGTATCCAGCACTCTAAAACAGTAATTCCTGTGACAGGCCCTTAGACTGCGCTCACGTTAAGGCACCTCAGGCAAAGCCATGCAAATCCATACTTTTTTTTTTTAGCTTGAGCCCTGAAGGCGTCTCCCATGGGCAGGGCCCTTGCTGGGGAAGGGGGAGCGTGCCATCTGTCTTTGCCATGCGCTCGCTGTGCTCAGGCTGAAATAGGCCCCATAACCACGACAGCATTTTTAATACATGTGGGTTAAAGCACAACTAGGGAAGAGCAGCTATTTCATCACTGCACAACTGTTGCCTATCATTCAGACAAAGGAACAACCTTGGATGCACAAAGGCATCTGGGCCACCTTTTAAAAAAAAAAAAACCATTTGAGTCCAGCTCAATGGGGAAAGCTCAGCTTGCTTTCTGTATCGTTAGGCTCCAAAGCCATTGGACCACCCAGCCGATTGTGCCTTTCGAGACCCCCATCACGGCCATGGCCATTAGCGATACTCGGCACGCTCAGGCTGAGCTTCCACATTTATACAATTTATACATACGTATCTGGAATCTTCTGCAAGCAATTCTAAATTACATTCACAGGCCCTGGTCCTGATGGGGAACTGCAACCACCCAGACACCTGCTGGGAAAGCGGGACAGTAAACTGCAAGCAGCCCGATACAGGTGCTGGAGAGCCCGACCTGTGGCTCACCAGTGCAGAACTTATAGGAGAGGTCAAGATTGGCAGTAGCCTGGGCTGCAGCGATCATGCCCTGGCAGAATTCACAATCTTGAGGGGTACAAAATGGGTGAAAAGTGGAGTCAGGACCCTAAA